GCATTGAAAACTGATTTAGAAAAAGGTTCTCAGTTCACTTCAGAGGTATACCTCTGAAGTGAACTGAGGACCTTTTTCTAAATCAGTTTTCAATGCTGATTCAGAAAGATATAGTTCGAACCTTCCATCTTGCAATACAACCTCAAAAAGTCAATTTCATCATAGAGGACGGTTTTTTGTATTTCTGAAGTCCTCGCAGTAGTTTGAGTTTTTCTCCATGAAGAAATGGTTTTGGGAGGCTCGGAAGGTGTTATTCATGATCAACTCGTTAAACTGAATCCGAATATATATAAGAAAATCAAAAATAAATTCCACTGTAAGTTTGCATTAGCTGCATCTTAGCATATTAGTTAAATACGTCATACTAGAAATGTTTGTTATTTTAACGTATTGTGTAATAATCACTACCGTTCTTATACTCAACATGATTAATCGTTTATCTTTTCTAAATTTATTCATATAGAAATAACTTTACAATATATACAAAACAGAAGTCAAACTGAATTAATCATTAACTTCTCGTTTAATATTATCACTAATATCAATACGTTGTCGAACACGTTTAATATTTTCTTGTGTAATTCTTAATCGTTCACTTAATTCTTGAATTTCATTTCGTACACGTTGTCGAGCACTTTTGAGACGTTGAAGTGTTTCACTTTTCTTTTCTGCATCTAAAAATTAAAAAAAAAAGAAATCACTAATTTAATTTATCAAACAAAAATGATTTTTCTATAAAACCTACATTCTTTTTCCGTTGTTTTATTTGATGGTGGTGCAATTGATTTAGCACAATTTAATAAACGACATAATAAATCTGATGGCTCTTGAAATACCTAAATAATATTCAAAATTAACAAAATTTAATTCATCTTGTCAAATAAAATTAACGTACCAATTCATCATAATGTTCATTGACCAATGGTTTTGTACCAGCAATGACATCAGGATCAGTAGAAAATAATTTAATTAAATGGTAAAATGTAATCTAAATAGATAATATCTTCACATTATTATTATGATTTTCAAAACAGAAATTAAAAGATATTACTTGTTTTTCATTTGGATCTGCAAAGTAAATTGTTATTGTGCATTCAAATTCACCCCATCCTGATTCTTCCACTTCAAATGGTGCTTGTGTAATTACTAAAGATAAAAAATAACAGATAAATAGAAGTTTATATCTAAGAAAATTTTTTTTTTCTTACCTCTTACATTGTTCGGATAGGTTTCGTGTAAACGAAACTGAATTTTACTAACATACACAGACATATCCTATTAAATAAAACAAAAAGCACACATATATAAAGCAATTGAAAACATTATTTGACTAAAATATACTTCATTGTCAAACGGTTTAACATAGAGTGTCCATGTATGAGTATGACCATCTCCTTCACGTTTTTGTCCTAAATGTTTTGCCGTATTACCATATAAAATCGGCTTAATTATAACAGGTGTTTTCTAAAAATAAAATTATATATTTTATCAGTTAAAAGTACTAAATATAACAATATTTATCTTTATTACCATTGTTGTTAAATATGAATTTCCTTGTGCAACATTATACGCCTCAGTAGATGACATGTCAGCGAATTAATAATCTATCTGAAGCAAAAACAACTGCTCTTCTTTCTAGAAGAGAAAAAAATGATGAATTTTCAAGTCTAATAACCGCATATTAAATGACATCAATAAAATCGAAAAGTATTTCAACGTTTAATGAGGATATGTTAAGTACAAGATCAAACTTGACATACGAAATTTAACGTAGGATCTAGGATATAACTTATAATTTATAGCTATAACGCCAATTTCTGCAGAGAAGAACGCTGTATTAACCATCATCAAGAGGACTCTCCCTCTTTTTTGACCCTCTTGAAAACCGGAGCAGCCGATGTTTGATCGGGCTAAAATTTATAGCAGAGATAGAACATCGAAAAAGAAATTCGATATATTTTTGCCCAGAATTATCTGACATGTTCTTCTATGGATTTTCTGGAAAACTCTAGTTTTTATCCAGTCACATTACGACCATTCGAAAAAAATGGTCCTATCGAGTTGAAATTTTTACCATAGATACTTTACACCCTATTTTAAGTTCATTTTTTTTCTTTTCACAAAATATGCTTTCCTTCTCGAGATATTCGAAAAATACTAAAAATCCTGTATAAAAAACATTTTTTATTTTAAAAACCTTCTCACGCCGAAAGTTGAAATCGAAAACGCTTAAAAACAAAAAACGAACTTGAGATAGTATCTAAGGAATCTGTGGTAAAAATTTCAATCCGATCGGATCATTTTTTCGAGGGGTCGTAATGTGACTGAATTGAAGGGCTATGAAAAAAACGCATAGTGAGAAAAACACATATTGTACGCAGGTTCTGTTCTTTAGGGCATTTGCGGTGATGCTTATATCTCCACAAAAACTCATTGGAACACTCATCACTCAAAGTCTGGAAGACATCTCATTTTGAAGAGTATATTTTCTTCTATCATACTATCTATAAGAAAGGAAAGAAAAATTTACAAAACTAAAAAATTGAGATTTTCTAAGCTTAGAAGGAAAAACTTAAAAGCGGCATAATTTTCTTAAGGAAAGTCGTAGAGAGCTGGGAGAGATCTCATTTTATAGCTCAGACTTCCCTCGACATTAGACAATGTTCAGCTCAAAATGAAAAGTTTTTTGCAAGAAGAACGGGGAGGGGGGGGGTGTACCTTAAATGAAACGACTTTTTATAATGTAATTTCTTATCCGTTAAGCAATCAGATCGCTGATCACATCATTAGTGTATTAATATAATAGCTACGCTCGATTAGAAGAGCATTTGTCTACATTTCGTTTTGATGCTTTAGCTTTGACTTTCATTGGTATTTTTATTTTTGTTTGATGGTATGGCCACAGGAAATTTTATAATACTCGATAACTTTTTTTTCCAAAATGTGTACTGGAAAATTGCTAAGAATATGTTATTGACCTTTGTGAGTAGGATTATGTTTTCAAAAATCGATGTATACTCTTTATTACGTGGAATTTGTTAGCATCTTTTATATTTGACTAACAACAAATCTCAGCACACATCAGTGTCTTTCAGTAACACGTGACAGGAAAATTGAACGTGGAAAAATAGAAATAGAAGAACAGTTTATTTCGTTTAGTATTCACAAATGATGAGTCAAATTTCTAGAACAATAATGTATTATATTTGAAGTATGGGGAGTTTTGATTAGACTACATTGTTATTTTTGATCTAAAAAGGTCATATTTATAAAGTGTATTTGAGATGAGATTTTTTGTTAGAGCAAGGATTCTAGATCCTTGTTTTCAATATGCACTTTCATGAGATTACAGCAAGAAGAAGATATTGGCGTATGCCACATGTTCATAGTATGCTAAAAATACCAGGAATCAAAGAAAAAGATGTTAACAATCATCATTTCTTTTCACCGGTTTCACTTTATCATGAATACTACTTACTGCTTCAAAAACAGTGTAGGCGTACAGTTCTAAAAAACATGTCTTTCTGAGCTAATTTGTATCAATATCTTCTAGAAGTGCTAAACATTGTTTCAACAATAATCGAATACAATTTATATAGATAGTACAGTGGAAATCATTTTTATTATCGTACAAAGAATAACATATATTTGAATATCAGAGACAATTATTGAGCTCGTATCGTCAAACGATGAACACACACACACACACATACATATAGACACACACACACACACACAAATTTACTAACAAATGGAATGAATTATACATGGCATAAAATATATACAAAAAAACCCATGTGCTTAACTGAATGCACCTTTTACATTATTATCACTAGCAGAAAACAATAATATTGGTCGAAACATTTACAAAAATAAAAATGAAGTGAATAAAGAAAACACCCTAAATAAATATCACTACTAAAGAAAATAATAAAAAATTAAAATTTGATATCTAAACGGAGAGAATAGTAAAACTGTTTCATTATGATAATAATAAAATAGATCTAATACCAGTTGATCAAAATCACTGTGAAATTATAATATCAACATATTTTAACAAATAGTAAAGAAAAATACATACACATACATATACGAAGAGAGATTCAGATGGGAATGTCATTCGGTAAAAGAAAGAAAAAGAAGTGAGTAGGAGAAATTTTTGTTAACTTATTTTAAATAGTGATAAGAGATAGATAGAAAAGTATGAAAGAGAACGAGTTCATTCTATAATAGATGTGCCTAATTAATTTATAATTTCAACATAATTACTTGGAACAACACCGACTGAACCTTTATATTCAGCTTTCCACCAAGTAGCATCTAAAACAAATATAACACAAAACAATAAAATAAAATAGTGAATGCCAAATAAAACAAATGATCGTTTACCTGAATTATCCACTAATAATAATTCAATATCGGCAGTAAATGATAACTCGTCAGCAGATCGAGCATTGAAATCATACAAAGTACGTAAACGTTTTTGTTTTGTCGGTTTACTTGCTGTAGGACGTGGCGGTTTTACCGGTGGACGAGAGGGATGTTTCATATTTTTTGATGAACTAAAATAATAAACCATATAATTTCTATTCAAAACTACTGTCATCACTTACTTATTTTGTGATTTAAACTGTAAACCTTGTGGACGTTCTGCATTAGTCTGATTTGGTCCTTGAAGAAATAAACAGTTATGAATAAAACATATAAGAATAAAAGTAGAAGATAAAATTTACTAGAATTTTTTGATAAACCATGAGACACCATTATGGACATTGTTTTACCATTAATTTTTACATCATAATCACGTGGCATATCCGTTGCTTTCTTCAATTTATTTGGATCAATATGATTAATCTAAATATTTCTGTATTATTGCACAAAATTCAATTCATTGTTGGATGGAACTTACTGTTGTAGATGAATTTGTTCCCGAATATGAAAACTTCAAACTGCGTGTACCACCAGTACTCAACTTTTGTTTTTTCACGGTGTACTCAAATCTAAAAGAAGAAAAACTGAATTACATAAGTTTTTTATACCATCTATTTTGTCATACCCTTGTCCAAATGATATTGGTAAATTACGATTTGTTTTTTTCAAATAATTTTTTGCTATAATCGAGCAACATTCTGTTTTACTACTCAGTTCAAGTAGAGATGCATAATCATTTGATACACATAATAGAAAAAAATTGTCACGGTATTCACTAAATAGAAAAAAATTAAATTTTATTATGGAAAATCAAAATAATAATTATCGAGAAGTTGATTCTCAAATGTCAGACATAGTCAATACTAAACTAAAACAAATTTATTTATTGTATATTTTATTCATAGAATGCAATGGTAAAATAGCATATACTGAAAAAAATGACTATCCATACTCAGCTATTCTAAATATACACTTTTATAACATATATGTTGTGGAGAAAGTACAGAATTAGCGATCCTATAGATTCGTTAATGATTCTATAGATTCCCTAATCAGTAGAATATCCTGAGAAAGTATAGAATGGGGTTTTGAGCCTCGCTAGAAAATGAATTTTCAAATACTATATTTCTGACTAGTATTTTCCCCAGAAAAACAGCAAATCTGTTAAATATGGTAATTTCTCGCTCTTTTCGTAGTCTTAAATATACAGGGTTCATCTATTAAGTGCGGAGTGGTGACAACTTTCACAATTCGATGGAAATTCCAGAATTAGTCTAATCGCCACTCACTCTCACGCTGCAACACCCCTACTCACTTACTGGTAGAATTCCAATTTCACTTCCACCAGAATTTAGCAGAATTTCAGCAAAATTGACCAGATTCTATTCGGATTCCAATTAGAGTTGTAATTCTACTAGTAAGTGAGTAGGGAGAGGGGGCGTTGCAGCGTGAGAGTGAGTGGTGATTAGACTAATTTTGGAATTTCCATGGAATTGTGAAAGTTGTCACCACTCCGCACTTAATAGATGAATCCTGTATATTTAAAACTACGGAAACAGCGAGAAATTACCATATTTAAAAGATTTGCTGTTTTTCTGGGGAAAATACTAGTCAGAAATATAGTATTTGAAAATTCTATTCATTTTCTAGCGAGGCTCAAAATCCCATTCTATACTTTCTCAGGATATTCTACTGATTAGGGAATCTATAAAATCACTAATTCTGTACTTTCTCCACAACATATGTTTATTGAGTAGACAACGACTTCTAACAAATACCTCATTTTAATCTCTGTAATTGCTTCTAACAATATTCGACGTTTGACTAGATATTGTAGCATAAAGCCTTCATCTTGTCTTCCACTTTTCGCATGTCCAGTACCCGATTTAGAATTTCCAACTTTTACCTAAATATAAAAATTTTAAATAAATTTTGAATCAACAATTGATTAATATATCGTACACATTCTTCATCAATGAGATATATTGCTTGATTTGTTACAATTAGATAACGTCCTTGACGACGAAATCTTCTATCATATTTGTATAAATAAGAACTAAATTCATTTTTTTCATTTCGAGGAACTAATTTTTGAAGATCTGGTCGTAAATGTAAATTACAATAATCACCAAGATAATCACGATCTAATGAACGAGCATTACGCTCTTTTCTAGTATACAATAAGTCAGTTGCTATAAAATACACAAAAACAATATTATCAAAACTACTATTTATTCATTTTTTTCTTCTTTTAATTTTACCCTGTTCACGTTGTCGTTGATAAACACGAACAGCACAATATCGTTTCATGGCTTTTTGAATAATACGAGCATAATTATCAAATTTTCTTAGACGCATATCTTCGAGTAAATGTAACTAAAATAATATAAAAGAAATTCGTAAAAATGACATTCTATCCTACACATTTTATTGTTTCATTACACTTTCAGGTGATTTAACAAAAACTTTTGTTACACCCATTTGTACTTCTTTTCTATCAATATGCATTTGATCAATAATATGCATTACACCTTCTTTTACATTACCATTCCATTTTGGCCATGTTTGTTTTGTTAAAATAGCATAACTAGAAAAAGAATCTAAGAACAAATGTCAATTTTTTTTAAAAATTATAAATTAAAACAAACCGATTTAAAAATTTGTTAAATTCACGACGATAAACAAATCCAGCTTTTCGTACGTCAATATTGGCTACAAGTCCCAAATATTTTACTTGATCAACAACACTATAGAAAAGAAAAGAATTATTATTAAAATTATTTATAAATTATTAATAGATTATCGTTTACTTGGTAGAGTCCCAGACATTCGGTGATTGAGTATCGTTTGGCTTTATACAACGAACATCTAAAAAGAAAAAGATTATAGCCATTTATTTTCAAAAGAAAATATTGTTATTTACAATGAGGTTGACATTTCATTAGTTTATCAACCAGTAAATTTGCTTGATTTCGAATTTTTGTGCCAGCTGTAGATGGTCGTGCTTTAATTTGAGCTGTTTGTTCAGGAAATAAATTAGCAACAAATGGTCTAAAAATTATGAATAATATTTTTGGAAATATTTTACAAAATTATGTTTTTTACATACTTTGTACTTGTTTTCATCATTTCTATTAAATCAATATTTAAAATATCACGATTTTTTTCACAAAATTGATCTGCATTATATTGAACTTCTCCAGCATAATGTCGAACGGTAAAACAGGGTTCAGATACGATTAAATATTGACTAGAAATGCCAGTCAATTTCTTCAAAAATAAAAACACAATACAATTTATTTTCTTTATCATATATAAAGTTTAAAAATAAATATGAATTTACATGTAGAAAACTTTTGTCGACTCTTTCTGTTGTGGCATGAGATGATGCACAAACATCATCTAACAAAAGAAACATGCCTGGAGGCTGTTTCGCTTCAAATAAATCGCAGACAACAATGTTATTAAAATATTTAATTGGTACCCATTGAATATTTTCTCGTTTATATTCTTCCTAAAATATAGAATTATATATTTACAATAAGAATTTATTGTCTAAATAATCAAATTTTACTTGTTCAGCTTTCAATGTTAATTCAATAAATATTTGTTGTAATTTTTCATTAACAAAATTAATACAAAATTGTTCAAAACTATTTTTTTCAAATATTTCAAATCCATATATATCTAATATTCCAACGGATAAATCTGTATCTGTTTGTGTATACATTGCTTGATTTATTTCCTAATATATATTAATAAAATTTTTGTTTAATATTAAAAAAACAAACAACACTTAATATTATCGTACTTGTATTAAATAATCAAATATACGAGAATAAATAGATTTTGCTAAGGCATCACGTGTAAATATAGCTTTTTCAACAGTAAATGCTTGATCAATCATTTTATTTTCTTGATGTTCTTTGAATTCTAAACGTTTTGATATTAATTTTGTTTTCAAATAATCAAGTTCAATTCCAAAATAAGCGCATGGAGGTTGCAAATCTTAAGCAAAAAAAAGAACACATTAGATCTGTTGTTGAAGTAGAACAGTTTCTAGGAAAGATTCAATCGAGTCTAAATTTGTATTACTCATACTTTAGATCCCATCGAAGATTCTAAATTCTGTTTTTCGAAAAATATGCTTTCTTTCTCGAGACATTCAAAAAAAAATGCTGAAAATCCTTTGTAAAAAGTCAGATTTTTAAAATATTTTGACGGCGAAAGTTGAAACTAAAAATGCTTTTTTCAAAAACAAATTTAGAGTTTAGATCTGAAGCATCTGTAGTAAAAATTTAGGCTCGATCGGCTCATTTTTTCGAGAGGTCGTCATGTGATTTGATTGAATCATCAGTGTTTTCCGTATTACAAATAACATTTAACCGATCGCTTTTTGCAGGAACATTTGCAGTGATGCTCTCATCTTCACGAAAAACTATTGGAAAATTTCAAAAGTGGTCTGAAAACATTTTTCTCTATCCAACTAAGTAAAAGACAAAATCTTGAAGACACTGGAAACAAACAGAAATTAACAAAACTATAAAAATTGATGTGTCTCCCAGCTCTTGAGTAAAAACGTAGAAAATTCATAATTTTGCAAAAATAGATCGTGAAGCATTGGGACTGGTCTTATTTTGTAGTTTAGACTTTTCTCTACATTAGACTACATTCAAATCAAGGTAAAAAATTTCGTATAAAAAGGGGAAGAGCCACCTTTAACATCATATTGATGACTTCAGAAAACAATGTGCTACAGTAACCGATTTTGAAGACAGAAAATAAACTAACCTCGATCGTATAATACTGTAGCATAGTTATTTTTGTCTCCAAATTGTACATTTCCCAAATGTAAAATGCCCGCTAATAATGTAAATATATCTTCTTTTGTCTGTCTTGATAAACCAATTATATCCATTGCACTCTAAAATAAAGAAGAAAACATCGCTAATTATTTTTTATTTATACATCGATAAATCATCATCATCATACTTGAGTATCAATCATATCTTTTGCATCATCAATTTTTGGCACTCGAAATGTTCCAACATTATTTATATACTGAAAACGTAGATCAGGAGATAATGAATATTGTTCTAAACGACAAAAATAAAAGAATATCTATTTATTTACTGAATATCAAATAAGAAACCTACGACGAAAATCTTTGTTTGATAGTAATTGATAAAATATATGAAAATTTCGCTCATTTTCAGCTTGAAACACAACACGAGACTAAACAACAACAAAGATAGTTTAATGTAAATAAAAAGGCATGCTATTGAAAAAATTGGTAAAATGATAAATAGACAATAAAAATTCTGATGGTGAATGGATTACACCAATCAATGTATTTTTAAAAAAATTTCATAAATTAGCATTTCATTGACAGTAAAGGGTTTAAAATGAGAGTAATCATTAATAAGACAAAAATAGTAGAAATTTTATTTGTTCTTATTCACCTTTTCGAGTAAAAAGTTTGATATCACACCACCGTACGGCTCACCTCCACGCGAAAAACGAATCTCAACATATTTTCCCTAAAAATAACAAACATAATAAATACCGATGAACTTGTTTAATCTAAATTAGCTCACAAATCTACTTGAATTATCATTGCGAATGGTTTTAGCATTTCCAAATGCTTCTAGTAAAGGTGTCGATTGTAAAATAACATCTTTTATTTTTTTGACGTTTTGTCCACCACCTGAGACCTATTCAAGAAAAAAAAACAATAATAAATGATAAAAACGTATAATCATTCTTACTTCGGCAATATAACCCATGATAAACTTTGCAGAAACTGTTTTCCCCGCTCCTGATTCACCACTGCAAAAAAACATTGTACCCATGTTAATATAGAGAAATTAATCACACAAAAGTTAAGATGCATACCTGATAATGACACATTGTTTTTCATTGTCGATTAACATATTACTGTACATATCCTCGGCAACAGCGAATATATGAGGCGCATTGTCCATTTGTGTCTACAACACACAGAAAGTTAGTAGAAAGATTTTATTGTTTAGATCACAACAAAGTGCTTACTGCTCCACGATATTTTTCCATGTATTGATCGCGACAATAGTCAACATTTTTGTATGGATTAACAGCAATGAGTACAGGGCCAATGTATGTCTTTAGTGTAGAAGTTAAAAAGAATAATAAACTATTTTTGTGATCAAATCAAGTCTTATAGCTTCTTATTATCAACGATGTTGACCACGCAAACCGTCAAACTTTTATACGTAACAACAATCGTTAGAAACACAAAGTAATTTCAAAAAGGATACATAAATGTAACTACAATCAAATCTTTGTTTTAAATTATGACTAATATCTGTTTCAGAATTCTTGGACATAAAAACCTAAACGCAAAAAAAATTAATGTTAGTGCTAATAATGCGAATTAAACGTTAAATAGCTTAAAGACGATCTACTTACCATATCATCAAAACCAGCACGACGTTCTTGGTCGCGGGAAAAATCGTATTTTGCCATTTTTATGAGAGAAGCAACTAATTGACGGTATTTATTTATATTTTTATCGATAAAAACATGATTATATTCTTTTAATTTTTTTGAGACGTAATTCAGTATCTAAACATAATAGTCTTTAATTCGATCACGTATAAAATATGGCATTCTAGAATAAACAAAGTGCCATTGCGACATTTGCCAGAACTCGTAATTTGACGAAGAAAGCCGGTTGAAAAACGCGAAACAAATTTAGAAAAAGAACGCATCTTAACAACTTTTTAGTCTCAATTCCGTAGAAAAAGTCTTGTATATCTGCTGAATCTTAAGTAAATGTCTTTACTAGTTGGGCTTTCCACACATCTCAAGCACGGCATCACGATTTTGTAATAAAAAAGAAACAAAACTCATTATGTACAATTATATGTTTTAGGTACTTTTATGAATTTCAAATATTCGATCGAGGATTTTGCTGAAAACGTAAGGTCTAACGCTAAGTTCCAAAGCGTAGAGAACAAATTCAAGTTTTTTGTGGTTATCTCATAAAGTGAACAGCAGTGTCTGTATATTTTATCATTGTAAAAGAACTGGTTGTCATTGCTTATTTTTCTTTACCTAAAGCTTTGACCATGAATCACCACAACATATATGGAACGAACTTAAATGAAAAGACGAAAAATGATGAGCAACGAGACAATATAACTGAATATAGTTAATCACAGTTTCAATAATAATGATGATGAAGAATGATTCATACATGCATTTGTATTAGACAAAATAAGCCAATAATTTTTCTGTTACTAAATTTTATTGAGATTTCTGGCATGCCTTCTGTAACGACATCTGTATCACAGGAAAGTGAGACCGTCTTTTCTCGCGCTCTCGATGGTTGAGATAAGATAAGAGCAACCATACCATAGAGTGCAGTGTTTTTTAATAGAAATTTTTGTCACGACGCCTTTCTCCACTGTGAAAACAATTAAATGTCATAGTGAAAGTTTCCACCGTCCTTTTCTCAGCACAGTAGATACAGTGGAAAAACTTTCATGTTGATTTTGAATAAAATGCAAAAGCATAAACATGTACAGTCTCGGTTAACTGTATTTAGTTATAATGGGTGTTCCAGAGTGGATCATATTGCCAGTATTTTCCATATGTTTCGGTTTCTAATTCGAACTAAGAAAAGTAAAATAAAACAAGAAGTAAAAAGTGATCTGGCATATCACCGACAAAAAATTTTGAAACAAACATTATTTTCCTATGAAATCTTTTTCATATCACTGAAATAAAAAAAATAAAGTTTGTTTTGAGTTACTGAAAAGCGTTTTTTCGTGTTCAGCACACTCGATAACCCAGGAGATTTTCTATTCTTGGCGAGGGGTACTTCCAAAAGCTTACGAAAAATTTTGAAACAAAATAGCGCAGAAAAATTTCCATGGAAAAGTAATATTAGTTTGAAAATTTTTCCTAAACTTTTGGAAGTACAATGGAAAACATAGTGGGTTTTCTTTCTTCACGGGGGAAAATACGAGAGATTTTAATTTTTCACGATAGATTACAGTAGAACGTCCACTTGTCCACCGTGCCATTAAAAACAGTGGTTGAATGCAAATCACCACAATCAACGTAAAACGCTACGATCGTTGTGATTTTCACGCTATGTCTGGCCGTAGCTTATTTCAACCGGTCTCTAACTTATTAGATAACAGACTTAGTGGTCGTTTCATACAGAAAGAAACTCAGAAAATAGACGTACAAAAGTTTTCCGGAACCCTTCGAAAGATCCTCGGATGCGCGTCTACGTATTAGACTACACTCTCTTCTCACGAGGGAAGGCCTCAAGTTGCAAATCGTTTTTTCAATGAAACTATGTGGAATTTATATAATTGATGATGTTGATTCCAAATATAAACATCGTAGTTACTCTTAGGCTTTTGTTGACGGGTTCTCTGAAAACTGAATTTCCAGAAAACCAGGGAACAACCAGGAAATTTTTCTCAATGGGCCGTTTTGTAGAAGACATAAAACTGTTTATAATTCATAAGTTTTAGTTTTTTACAACAAAAATCAACACCGTAGAAAAAATTTCCCAAAAGAGTCGCTACGCTGGTTTGGATGGAAAAATATTGCAATAGGGACCTTTGCAAAAATCATAGCACTGTTCGGTGGCATTTCGAAAAACTAAAACTTATGGAACATGGACAGTTTTGTGTCCTCTACAAAAAAAAGGCCGGTTGGGATAAATTTTCTGGGTTTGTTCTCTGCTATAAAACGAGTGATATCTGATAATGCAGATAAGGTCTTGCAGTCAAAAATTCTTTCCGAATATCAGAGGGAAAAATCTCATTTGAGGATAGAAATATGCAACTTTGTATTATCTTTCCAGCTAGCAGTATGAGAACGCTTGATGGTATTAGATGAGGTCAGATTTCGCTATTCTGGCACCTCTAAAAGCGCTTCAGTTCAGAACTTATGGCCGAGGAAAAACCGTGTTCGGAATAATTTTTCCCTGGGGCAATAGGGATCTTTAGATGCCTTTAGTAGGACGATCGATTGCATATAGTCAAACCCTCTCGACTTTAAGTCGTGTATAAAGTGAGCGGACCTGTGCGGAAGTACTCTCAAGACCAAGCCCACTGTTCATATTTGGAATCAGCGTCATCAATTACATACATATAGCCCATCTAATTTGATCGAAAAACCGATTTGCAACTTGGGACCCTTCCTTCGTGAGATTAGCTGATTTTGTCAGTTTTACGTCGAAATCGGTTCTTTAAAATATTTTTCTGTAAGGTAGCGCCCTCTATTGAATGGTTTATTAAATAAATTTTCTGTCAGTCAACTGCTGTGCACTTGACATATGTAGTCATTAGTTCGTGTTTATTACTTTCTCTGTTATTTCATTGATATGTATACTCTCTAACAGCTTTTCACTTTTGCGTCTTCTGATATACAATCTGTAGATTGATTACTTTTCGGCCATTTTTCCATGTTCTGGTAGTAGCCGGATATACAATTAATTTTCTAGGCCCTTTCCTTATATTACATTCAAGGAGAGAACGCAACATAAAACTTTTTCAAGTTGCTTTAGAACTATTGTTTGCTTAGTGGAAAAATTGCCATAGCCATTTATAATAACTTTTAATTGCAGAGCAGCAGTTTATAGGGAGTTCGGGTTATCGTTATTCGGAAGTGGAGATTTGGTCATATCTGTTCTTAACGGAGAACGTTTTGAAAATCTTTTTTCAAAAAAGGGAACACTCTTTCAACAGATAGATAGTATGTATACAGAAGTATATATTTTGTATTTATTGACGAATTTTTTGTGGATGAAATACCATATGCTTTTATTTTGTTAATCGAAGTATGGAAAAAAATTAAGTGTATCCAATAGAGTGAAAGTAGTAAAATAGAAAATAATAAGTAGATGGTATCATAAACTTATAAACAGCAATAAAAACTACCACTATAAAACTATTACTATACACTACCAGCAGGTAATACGCAGTGGATTCTATGACGAATTAATAGTAAAAAAATAAACAAAACAACTAACTTATATTAACAACATCTTCGAAATTTTCTTATGACAGATCAAACATTATTCAATATTGCATGAAATTCGTATTTATTTGTCTTATTTCATTTATCATACGGCAGATTGCACCTTGAACAAGTATAAATATCTATGTAGTACTTTAATGCTCCATCAAAAATAAATACTTATATCACTACATTTGAAATCAGGTTTTAATACAAATTGTCTAATAACTTACTACAGCGAAAACATTTTTCATGCATGTTATCGACGAATGTAATGTAAAAAATCAAAACAATCAAAACAACAGTCGTACATACAACACCAAGAAAAGAAACAGAAATACATTAGAACACATTATTAATAATCAAAAGAGACTCTTATTTGTGGACATAGAAGAGCTCTATCATCGTAACTAGTATATATATATATGACGAAAGACTACCAATCATTTTACTTTTATTACATGTAAGAAAAGAACAAAATCATCGTCTCGACGAAATCACCTAGCCTTACTCTTACCTATTTGAACTCATAATGTGCTAGTATATAAGTGATTTTGATATATGTTATACCCATTTTAAAATTATCAAATAATATCCAATTCAAAGTGGAATTCTCTTTACTTGATGAGAAATCAGGTGCTAACTGAAGCTAAGAACGTATATACAGAAACAATAGTTATCTTTATATTTTATTGGGGAACACATGAGTTCAGTGTCAAATAGTGTAGTTTAGATTATGTCTAATGGAGCTTTCAAGAGCAATTTAATAGTTATTTATATTTCTACAAGTTGGTTACAAATGGATATGTCAGTCGATTAGTGACTGTAACAGATGATACTTAAAGAATGAATGAAACTGAAATGAGTCAATCTTTTTATGTCAAGTTTTTAGAAAAACACAAAATGGAATCTTGTTTAGAAACATCTGTTTCATAACATTGGCGAGAGACGTAGCAAAAATCTGAGTGAGTTCGATTTCATATAAAATACGTCCATGTCATTTTTTAACTTTTCATTTAGAAATGTTTTGACTGTACAATATGAACTATCTGTCATTAAGTATTTTTTACTGGGCCAATTTATGTAGTATAGTGTTACATTTAACAATATCGACCGCCTTCTTCGATTAAACGACGTTTCAAAATGTTTGATAATAGGTGGTTTTCTACCGTTTCTATTGTTCAAATTCATTGTCAGCAGTGAGCATTATATCAACATAGTTTGTTATATTAAGGGTTTCTTCCCATTATTTGTCTTATTATAGAATTGCAACGACTAAAACGTAGCATTTTAAAGAGCATCTCAAAAAAATAAAATGTTATCGTTTTTGCTCAGATCTTTGAAGTTACTTTTTTTAGGTATGGTTTCTAGTAAAAACAGCTATTTCATCGTACACTGTATCAACCCCAACGAAATTTTACCTGTTTGAACTCAAATATCTACCACAAACAATTCGACTTTACTACGTCTATGTGTTTTTCGATTTAGATCTCCATAGTGTAGCGTCGAAGATTCATAAGAGAATATCGTGAAGGATCAAATTTCACTTTTGAGACTCTCAGTATCAGTTGCCTTCTACACGAAGAAAAGTTTCTAGATCGAAGAACATCTGGGTGTCTGAAGATCGAAAATCTATGGTAAAAATGTAGGCTCGAACGGACAAAGTTTAAACGGCTATATAAATTTAGAAAAAACTTCAAACGGTTTTAGGAGATCACTTGATATATACAATGGAAGAAAAACATGTCGATGTGTTGAAATGACTCATGATCGAAATAATTAGTACAACTGTTCTTAAAAATGATAGTAATTCTTGTTTCATTTAATACATAGTGGTTTTATATCTACAGTATGTACTCAATACATTAACGGAAAAATGTGTTTTGATCACTAAATTAATTAGTAGACAGACAACAAAAAGAATATAAAGAAAGTATATATAAGAGGAATATATATACAACAAAAAATATAAACAGAATAGAAGTTTAATTTAATTTCTTCTTAGATCTTCTTAGATCATAATGGTTTTATCAACTCTTTTTATAATTATAGATAAATATTTTTCCTTCACAATGGACTTTATTTATTTATTTCCAAACGTTTTTTATTGACTAGCTCAATCCTCATCAAAGGATACAAATAATTAATTAAATTAAATTAAAATATACAAACTGAACAAAATTTCCTTTTCTTTTTAATAATACATATAGCAGATGACAAAAACCGTATGATGACACAGCATCTTTATCTTTTTCTTCTTTTCTTTCCTAACCTAGAAAATTCTTGCTTATATACAACTTACAAAATTTAAAAGAAAAAAGAATAAGAAAGAAAGGGAACCAAACATGTAGAAGATTTATATGTTAAGAAGAAATTTCTTTGGATTGAACCGTAAAGACAACTAATGTTTAACCTAAAATGAGCTGGAGTTAGACAAAAACGACGAAGGAAAACTCTGTAAAGTTAATGGTTGAAATTTTTTGAAATTTTATCATCAACGGTTGAAGTTGCCATACAGTTATTGTCATCTACTGTATATATGTCAGGAGTTCCTATGTATTATTAAAAAGAAAAGGAAATTTTTTTCAATTTGTGTATTTTAATTTAATTTAATTAATTGTTTGTATCCTTTGATGAGGATTGAGCTAGTCAATCAAAAACGTTTGGAAATAAATAAATAAACTCTATTTGTGAAGGAAAAATATTTATCTATAATTATAAAAAGAGTTGATAAAACCACTATGATCTAAGAAGATCAGAAGAAATTAAATTAAACTTCTATTCTGTTTATATTTCTTGTTATATATATTTTCTTTTTTTGTTTGTACTAATTAATTTGGTGATCAAAAATAATGATACCCATCCATTAATGGATGAAAAGAATAAATTCTTTTGCAGAATTTGATATTACGGTGAAAAAATTTCTGCCTTATAAAATTCAGCAACGGAACTTGTAAGCAGAAGATTTTCTAAAAATTCTCTAGAGACTTCAATTATATGTCTGTTGTAATCGCCGTAATTGATAACACATATGCTGAATAGCATTCAAGACCATATTTTAGCGTTTTAAAAACAGTATAGTGCCCTGGAAAAGTGAACCGTTTCTATAATCCATTAAATTAAAATAATTAATTTTTATTGCCAATAGAGAAGCATAGAATGCAATCGATACGCGTTTCTTAAGCGTATCTATGATGAATAAAAGAACATCGAAAGAATCTTTGTTGACTGAAAAAACTAGGTAGTTTTACCAAGCAGGATCATGCCAATAACTGGTTTAATGTTTAATTACTTAGCTAATCGTACAATCAATATATGGTCAAATTATATAAAGATTATTTTTCTACTGAATTTTACACCTTGACATTCAAATACCATGCCCTACAATGGCAGGCAATATTAAGGAAAATGTTCTAAACTGATATATGAGTTAACTATGACGCCAATTGCTTGACGTCAGAAGGCGTCCGCGCCACTGGAAGGGTTAAGTAAATTTCGAACGGAAAGAAATAGAGACGAGCTGTTCCCGTTTTTTCGATAGAGAAGATCATGAGTAGAGTTCTGCAGGTTACGACTTTTTGACAACCTATAACCTAACCTATAAAAATCTTCACAATCTGCAGGGCTCTAATAGCGAGACATTTTCCAGTAAGCAAAGTAAATTTTGAAATCCTATTCGGAGATAAGATTAAGAAGATCTTTAGAAAACCAATCTTGTTCTTCAGAAATTAAAAAAGGCCATATAGTAGTTGTATCAATGAATAATTGTACGTTTCAAAGTGAGCAGATGTAGTTTACACGGTAGAGATAAGTTTGAGAATAAAATATGTAATTTCAGCATCTATTCTATTAAATAGTAGTAGATTGTGTTTATATCAAAATATGCCATTTACATTCTGTTTTAAGTGCAAAATATTGCATGGTAAACATCATCGATCTATATATATATATATGTACACTTTTTTAAGTTAGATGAAACGAGAAGAAAAAATAAAACATCTAGAACAGTGAAGAAAACATTTAACATGATGACAAACGCTGAAGTGATGGTTTTGGAGCTGAGCTCACATTGTGATTAATATTGCTATGATTATTGTGATTATTGTGATTATTGTGATTATGTTGATGATTCTTTGAAAGATGAATGTATGATGATGAGAAAAAACTTGATCGTTGCCGATGAGTGGTATGATTTCGCTTAAATATATCAATTGCTCTTAGTAATTCTAAACGAATATGTTTTCCACTAATTATATACAAATAAAAATTAATACCATAATTAAAATTTGTCAATAAGTCAAAAATATCGTGTGTAATATAAATATAATATTGTAATTTTGAATTACATATTTTGAGTGCATGAACAAAAATAAATTTGATAATTTCTAATAGAGAACCGGGTACATGTAGAACGAGATAGACTGATGAAACAATAACTAACATTTTTGATATTTTATACAATAATATCATTTTTTTACGTTGATTCGCTTTTGTTGTATGATCAACTAAAGATGATTCACTATATAACTGATTCATTATCAAGATATTTACACTAACTATAATTGTTGATGGTACAAGAAGCATGAGAACTAAACGCCAGACATAAATTGTCATTACCTAAAACACAAACCAAAGCATTTGATTAAAGTCAATTAATTATCGTTGATACTTTTAAATGATGTTACATTCAAATTGCAAATAAAATGTATACTTACAATATCAATTTTTGCATAACTTGGTAATGTTTTACATCTACACGGTGTTGTTGATGGTGATGATGATGTTGTCGAAGAGAAATTTAGAAATGTTGTTGTTGTAAGCGATTGATTGTAAAATAAAGTAGTTGACCCACTAGATGAAGTTGATGATGTTGGACTACAATCGAGACCTTTGACAATCATATGATACGATAGCATTACAACTGAAAATACGAATACAAGGAATATAATGCGACGGGCATTAACAACACTACAAATATATTTTGACCATAACGGAAATTTAATTGCTACTAAACGTTCAATCGCTAAGGCGACAATGATCCATGATGACATGGAATAAAATATATAACGAATATAATAATATAGTTTACATGTAATAATTGTATGTTGCATGAATGTTCGTTTATCCGTACGATATTGATACAGCTCATCCAGTGCCACTAACACTGTAAGAGAAATGAGAATATATACAAAAATATTCAAATGCATTATCTGTTATTATTTTACCTTCTGATAATATAGCTCCCGTATCAACAATTGCCAATGCAATCAAATATTGTGTATAAGAGTTACGTCTTAAACGTCGTCGACACAAAACTACTAAACATAACATATTACCACAAAAACCAACTACAAACACGGCAAATGTACCTGAAAATTGAAATAAAACAGTTATCTTTTTGTATTAGTCAGTAGTACGTACTATGAAGAGAAAGTGTGTTCAAGAGCATTATTTTTAGAAATCGTTTTGTCACAGAACATTCAGTCAAAAAGATTATTTCTTAGAGTAGCATTTTAAACCTACTTTAAAAAGAAAGACCCTGACAAATAGGACTCATTTTTTCAAGGTTCACATTATTCTTTTTACATTGTATACTACATATACTAACCAATATGATTTAACCACCATGCCCATGATTTTTCAAAATATATTTTTTGGTAGTAATCAAAGTCTTCATCTGTAAGATTACTCGTACAATGAGGCATCCTAAAGAAAAGAAAAGTACATTTCATAATAACTGCAAAGGAAAACGTATACGCTATTGCTTTCCGCAAGTCCTTTTAATACTCAGTTTGTTATATTTGTCTTTTTTAATGTAATAAAATAGAAGTTTAGAGCACTTAGTATCAAACATGTGACAACCACAAAATTATTCTACTAAATATAATATTATGGCTAGAGGTCATCTTTTTTCCTTTTTCGTTACAGATGATAGATATTCTATTTCGTATCAATCATGATATCGTTTATGATGATAGTTACACAGTTATATCGCTTAAACGTTACAAAAAGACTTCAGCTGCTAACTACAAAAGAATTCGTCGTACAAACAGCCGGTGACATATAAAACCTACTATGAAACATTTGTAATGGAATAAGTACGTTTATTTGACCAACTAGATACCATCAACTTGTTAATTCATCATTTTTCTCTACGCAGAAAAAAAAACTCTGATGATTTTTGAAAACAAGAAATTAAATATGTCTTAGTTAAGTATATGATTGATTCTTTTCTCTATTTTTGTCGAAAAACTGGCGTAATGTTTAGTACCAGCTAGTACATATGTAGATTCAAAAGAAAACGAGAAAAAAAAATAAGAGTGATAATCTAATAATTTCGGCTAGTTTCGACATAAACATATACTTATGCTGGGTTATTATTAACACATTTGAAGAATAAAACATATTTCTGAGATCATATCACATACACTAATTTTGTTAACTGTCATCACTATTATCCGTCAAAATATGATCGAATAGTTGTTAACTCATAGTTTTGATATGATACGACTTACAGTTTTACAGAATTTCTTCTGAAAATTGATTTTTTTTTTAATGGAAAAACGTTTTTTTGAGATATATAAATGAATGTGTAGCTGGAGGTCTGTACTTTCAAAATATAGAACAAAACGTTTTGACAAATTTTTGAAGGATTTTCTGAGAGGATTGCATCAAAACAATGAAAGTTTGTGGATCGTTTCGAATTTTTTCAAGAAGATGGTCTTGTGAGAATCAAGTACGTTTTTTGAGCAATCGGGAATGCGGAGCGCATGTTTGACTTGTTTTTTTAAATAGGAAGATAAAAATGCACAAATTGATCAATGCAATTTTCGGTAATGAGAAACGTGCATTGCTACGGCTGCTGTAAGAAAACTTTTTCGATCTTTTAACTTCAAATACATCCTAAACAACAACAGAGAGAAAATATCAATATTGTCTCGATCAATTTTCGTTTGTAAATCATTTAAAAAAAACGCGTTCCGTACAACTGTCACTCAATGTCAGAAAAATATGCAGTACGAATCAAACAGCACTCAGTAGTCACACCATTCAAAACTGTCGATTTAAGACTGCTATTTCTCACCTTTTGAAAAATTCAATGAGTTATACGATCAAATCCCTTATTTGTTCTTTCTTTTTGTTCTTAATGAAAATTTGTCTCTTCTGTACAAAGAAAGACAGATCCATGTCAACTTTCAAGCTGAACTCATGGAGGGATTCACGCCAAAAAGTCGCACCAAGATAGTGTTCCGCGATCGTGCTAAAATTCGCGGCGGATCTTGCCAGAAATCTAGGCATCATGGTGCGATCCCGTAGAATCCTGGGCGAACTCTTAGAATAGCACTATGGTCCTAGCCCAATCGTCATTCTCAGAGCGATTTTAGAGCATAAGAGCTATTTCGCGGCACGTCCAAGGGGAAACAGCGAACTCCTGGGCTCCTGAACTCCCGTGGATTCCTGGACTCCCATGGACTCCTGGACTCCCATGGACTCCTGGACTTCAGAAGTCCATGGGAGTCCAGGAGTCCGCTGTTTCCTCCTTGGGCACGTCTCACGGTAGTCGCAACGGGAATCCTGAAAATAATATTTTTTGTCGTCAGAAATTTCCGGTTTAAATGGCTTTTGAGAAAGCTTTTAGAAAAACAAGTCGTTCTTTTATATAAGTTCGATTGCAAAGCAAAAGGATGAATGAGAGTTCTGAATCGTGATTCATATTGCGACTGCAGGACTCGTGTGTTTTTTCAGGTATTGCAAAGTAAGAAACTTGAAGAAAAAGTTCAGTTTTTTGTTTCCCACAATCTTGTAAAACTTGACACATTGAGCTACATTCATTAAATATTTGATGGGTATGTGTAGATAAGAACGAAAACATATGGCAGTTGTACGGAATATTTTCATATAATATATATGCGTGATCTCAAAGTAAAATATATGCGCATATTGAATTAAAGTAAATTCTTGTTCGTGTAGTACTACATTTATTAGTTAGCTATACTCTCCAGTGATCAATTCTTATATAAAATTGTGATAAAAAACAGCTAAAGTTCAGATAAGATTCAAAGAGCTATCCGACAAGAGTCTAGAGAGCATTGGGTCTATTCTGAAATAAATTGACCTCTGATGGATTTCTCTCAAAAGTTCTCCAGTTTTTGAGTTTCTCGTTCACACTTCTTCAGCCGAGCAGCTGCGACTACGATGTATCTGCCGATGAAAAGTCGGCTTCGACTTTCTAAGGATAATCTAACTCCATGAGGATTATGCGAGAGCCCCGGGACTGTTCTGAACAAAAAACTCAAAAACAGAAACATTCTAATCAACTAGATGACATCTTCACAGTTTATGATGCCCTGATTATGGATGTTATTTCGACAAAAGATTATTTGTGACAAGAAAAAATTACAAAGAAAAATTTATTGTTCTTTCTTTCTCTTTGTTGCATGAAGGTTAGAGTTACAACGCAAGATCGAACAATAGGACATATAAGAGTAAACACAGTCGTCTCGCGTCTCTATGAAAAGAAAGCTGAGATAGGATCTAAATACTCTTTCAGTATACTCAGCTAAATTTCTATTACAGTTATCAAATATATTGTGACAAATTTTTATAATTATTTTATCCATCTCTGAAGCTAAAAATGCTTGATTGAAGTAAAAAAACTGAACAAATCATTATCATTAAGAAACTAACAAAAATTTGATAAGAAAATGATAAGAATTTTATAGAATTCTTATCGCTTTCTTATTATCAGGTGACTCATAATAAATGAGTCTCTCCGTATTCTAACTATAAATTGTTCTTTTTTCAACGTGTTCTTCTTCAAAAGTGAAAGACTGCATGAAAAAAAATATAGAGAAACATCAAGACCGTCAACTTTTTAACTGCTATACTAAAACGATGATTTCTGACAAACCGATTTTAATCGTTTTGTGTAGCTCGTTTCGTTTAAGCATCGTTTTTAAAAAAGCAAAAGAATTCTCATGTAACTAGTTGTGCTGTAGAAGAAGTCTAATTATAGCCAGAAGATAGAGTTTTTCAAGTGCTACAAAATGCTTCGAGGTTAATTTTTCCTGTCTTAAAAAGTCAAAGAATAAAACTGACAAACAAGATCGAGTTGACGATTTTGAAATTTCTCAGTATTTTTCATGCAGTCTTTCACTTTTCTGTTCAGGAATAAAATACTCAGCACATTTTTGGTAGAGAATTTGACGATACATCTTTTGAAAAAAACCTATGTCTCAGCGTTGACAAGATAAAAAGTTACAGTCAAAATACGGAGAGACTCATTTATTATGAGGCACCCATTATGGTCTTAGTTAATTCTTACATGACTCTTACTGAATTCTTATCACCTTCGTACAAACTTCTTATATAGAATCTTGTGAGAAACTGATAAAAATTTTCCATCTAGAACTGTTGCCACGTTTCTGTGCAGCTTTTATATTTTTCATCTCATAAATGCCTTGAGAAATTATTTATTAATCTCTCACTAGGCAAGAAAGATGAGAAAAACTATCCTCTAGCACCATCAACTCGTTTTAACATTTACGATGAGTGTCTAATACTACTCACTGATTGTTAACTGTTCAAAAAATGTAAGTTTAAAACAACAGTACATGAGCATTTGTTAGAAGAATGAAACAACGTACAATTAATAGTCCAAAATGGTCATATTAAATATTTAAACATTATAGTTGATTTGACGAAATAAAAAATGAGCATTTCCCACCAAAGTTAACTAATATAAGCATATTTTACATTCAAAACATTCTTATCGAAAACGACAAACAACTGTCACTGTTCGAATTTTAGAAGTGATGTGCAAACTCAGTAAGACTGTCTTCAGTTCTCGTAGATTTATATATCATGATCTAAACATGGTGAACACAAAAACTGAAATTTAAAGTAGTCTGTGTATGGAGACTAGTCAAGGATAGAAGTTAATATGGAACTAGCAAACCGGAGGATATCTCTTTTCGCACATGCATATATTTCTGTTCTCTTTCTTATTTATCGACGCGCTGAGACGAAAAAATGTCCGCACATGGAATATCTTATGTATGAAAGAAATATCTCCTCATTGGCTAGATTTCTATTGAAACATTAACGCAGAATCATGATGAAACCGCAATATCTCCGTTAATCGACATGTGCGTAAGATCATACGATAGTTTAATTACGGTGATAAGGGGATTGATTTAAGAATTTTTAGCGTAACAGAGATGTATAACTAATCATTTTAAACTTATTGTTAAAAATCGTAATCACATCTCATTTAGTTTAACTTTCGCAAATTACAAATTCAAATTAACATTCAAAAATCAGGGATTAAGATTTATGAACCTTCCTTTGTTGATATATAACGAAAGAAGATTAACTCATTGAAACTTAATCTACACGTCATTTACATAATTTTTGTGTAATGGGGCAATTCACTTTTTTTTTTTATAATTTTGTAAATGATGTGTATTTTAAGTAAATAGTTTACACCAATTAGTTGTCTTCTCTCACAGAAACTGAACATTATGAACAACGTTTAAAAGTTATACCAGTCATGTCACTGGATAAATTGATTAAATGGATTAAATAGATAAAATTTAAGTCTCGCCAGAATCAAATAAGAACTATAGGGAAACTCTCCATTAAAACGCAACTATCAGATCTGGTAGTACTGATGAATAACTCTTCGTCGTGAAATCAATTACTCGGTGCTATTCATATTATTATTATCAAAAGCAGAAGAAAATATATTGTCTCATGGAAAGAAATGTACGATTATTCAAGTGATTCTTATTGAAGTTAAAAATGAAAAAAATGATTAGAACTATAGGGTACAAAATGATGCAACCAGAAACTGCTTTCCCTACGCTTTATGTTCTTGCACAAGTACATAAATTGCATCAAGTCGATTTGATCTAATATTTCGAGATTTCATAGTATGGCAAATGTCATTTCTAGATGCCATGGTTGATAAGAAACAACAACGAGTAGATATCTACACGAAAATGTATTTGAAGTGGAGTAGTACTCAACCTAGGAATAATAAAGTTAGTCTCATAAAATGTCTGTGTACGACAATGATGAAAATTTGTTTGACAAACTCTTTAGAATGTCGATCAGGAAATATTTTTGGAAAATGTATTTGTCCAATATATTAATGTTTAGTAAAACGCCAACTGAAGTAAGATTTATTCAAATTTAAAACGGAAAATAGGTTATATATTGGATTTAGGTCAGATTTTTCATAATAATGAGTGTTACGGTTATGGTATATATTATGACGTTAAATAGACGGAGTGTGCATAAACTGTTAATTTATCGAACGATTTTTTCTGATGGAGCCCAGTCGTTATAATGTATTGCTATTGTACCTCACATTTTGGCGGAGTACAATAGCAATAAAGCATAACGATTGGACTCCATCAGAAAAAATCGTTCGATAAATTAACAGTTCAAATTAGTAAAAGAAGAACTGAAGAGTTGACATGTCCCTTAGTTATAACTCTAAGTAATTATAATTTTTTTCAACTTTTACTTAAAAATTTATAACAGTTATGAATAATTTAAAGTTTTAAAAAGTTAGAACGTCTTATCATAGTTTCACGTTAACTGAGCACTACACGCCACAATTTTTGTTATACAAGCCGATAGCGGGATGAATATACCAGTAATCCACGAAAGCAGCTAACGATGGTTAGAATAACAGAATAAAAGCAAAATTCTTAATTACCTTGTAAACCTTTTAAACGTCTTGTTATTTTTGGGATAGTATCAAAGAAAAATCAATGGTCGATTTCTTTTATTAGAACAACAGTCTCTCACAGAGACAATAGCAATCGTGTTGATCTGTACACTGTAAAAAAAACATGTTCCATTTATTTAATGAGAAACCATTGTCTAAAATCCCGTCAAATCTCATACTCCACATATTAAGAGACTTAAGCAGAACTAGTGGTGTTTTTAATATTGGATAAAATATAATTTAACCCGTGTACTGACATTAATAATTTATAGAGGGTATGCAGTTTTTGACATAAGGGATTTACAACAGATTAATTTCTGACTTTTTAATGGAAAAATAAAACTAATGAATGTTAGAAATGACGTAATACAACGCTCAACTTAATGATTTTATTTTTCCCATTTTTCAAACATAAATTGTCATTCTGTATGAGATAATCGTTAGTTATTATTGATATACATTTATTCTCATATTCGTCATCTCCATATTGATCATTTGGATCGATACTTAAACTAGATTTGACAGTAAAAAAAGATGTCCATGAAAGTTAAGAGTGTATTTTATTCTCAATCTCCTTTTTTGTCAAACTAACACGTTTTTTTTCTTTTATATTAAAAAATACATAAACACTCTAGTGAGATATTTGTTAATTATACTGAGACGTTGTTTATCGACTTGCTTCACCTTGATAAAATGTAATTCTCGCTTACAATTGAATTTTTTATTATTT